ATCATTTAAATGTACCGCGAAAACAGCGAAAATATACTCGCGTGCATAATCGGCTATATGGTATGTAGGTGTTTATATTAATTACTTACATTATTATATTTATATAGGTGTGTGTATATATAGCGCTGATGTCTAGATTAGATACATTTGTCACTTAAGTAGATATATGTATATATATTACATAGTTATTCCAATTCGTCATCTATATGCGCATATTTGCTGTAAATGTGTATATATTTGTCACTTATATGTTTATATTTGTCTCTTATATGTTTATGTTTACTTTAGAAGTGTATATCACATATGTATTTATAGCTGTGGGATCGATATAGGCACGATATTTGCACGATAATCTGGAAATCTTGACGAAATTTGCTATTATACGTCTGTGCGCACAGTGTGAGGTTCTATCGCACAGATGTGCGATTCTATTGTGCGTTTCTTTTATGAATTTAAGAATTACTTATGAATAAGTGCATTATAGAGTTTATTTGTTATTTTTTATTATTTTTCTTGATATGTAAGGGCAAATCTTAATACATTTAGCAATTAAGTCATACATTTATAGATCAGACGCATTTAGAACGTTCAGGTACAGACTGAAGAGTGTTTTAATGACGTAGCGTTACGCCTGATCTTTCTAAGTGTACAGAAACATTGCATATTAAAACATTAGATTGGCATCTCTTTTAGTCCCGACAATTAATCATTTAATTTTTTACCGCCAAGAGGTAAATCCAGTAACATCCTTTCTCTACTGTTCATCATTTGGAGAATTTTCAACGAAAAAGTATGTACTCAGGTAAGTTTTAAGTGTTGTGCTTGCTACACGGGGGACCTATCTGGTAGGGTGTTGTCACGTGTATACCCGTATACAGGTATGGTTTGTTGCCCGGGTCACAATACTTTTGATAACTGCCAAATTTTAAATGACCTTTATCATCACCAATCAATATTTGATATACCTATGGGGGCTATTTAGTAATGAATTTACGAGTTTGATTTCCATTCCGTAATATCAATCAACCAGTTTTACCAATTCGTGCAAAATGTGCAATCCTGTTCCACAGTTGTGCTAAATATTGTGTAATGCGTGTTTACGGACGGTGAACAGACGACGTATGCACAATGTGCGGACAAACTTGAAGGTGCACTGTGCCCGTAATTGTTCCTATATCCGTTAGGTTTCTGCTGTTGCCCAATATCTTTTGTCTATAATATATTGACAATGAAATATTTTAAGATGAAACTAGAAAAATATGTGTCATGTTTTTCATATTGGTCTTTATTCTGAAGTTTATGTAATCTCGAGGCTTGTTTGCAGGTTGTTTGCAAAATGTTTGGATTCATATTGCCCTCATTCGTTACAACCGACTTAAGGTAAAATTGATGAGTTGAAATTCCTACTTATAGAAATTTTAAATTTCATTTGTTTTGTTTTGTTTTGATTTTTTCCCCATGCAATAAAGATATTTATTGACTGGTTCAGATACTACTTAATATCGATATATGTGTACTCATTGACGTGTACAGCAAATTAATTTGCAAATCAATATGTAATGATTGAATGTGTATATGATGCAATGCTAAATACTAGACTAGTATATTGTCAAAACTGTTCATAAATATATATATACTAAACAAAAAAAGAAAGGTAACACTACTTTATTCTGTGATTAATTAATTAACCCCTTCATAAATCCTTACCAATCATGTACGAATAAAGTAATTTATCAATTCTGATAAAACTGCAGTCATGGTTCATTATAAAACTTTGCGTTCAGTTGATTTCATTCGACTGTAAAGGACGTTGGGGTCAATTTCAAAGGTAACACCATTAGTAACGGGTATGGCCACCGTTTGCGAAGTAAACATCATTGCAGCGTCGTCGCATGGAACTCGTAAACTGGCGGATAATTCGAGGAGAGATGTTGTTCAATTCAGCGATCAAGGCTTGGGCCAGCTCCTGCAAGTTTGACGGCTGATTTTGACGTTCTCTCACGCATCGCCCAAGAACGTCCCAGACATGCTCAATTGGTGACAAATCAGGTGATTTAGATGGCCAATCTAACACCTGTACGTTATTCTGCTGCAAGAAAGTTCTGCTGACGCGACTGGTGTGCGCTGGTGCGTTATCCTGTTGAAAAATGGCGCCAACGCCATGGCGTCTTAAGAATGGCAGAACCACTGGTCTTTAAATTTCGTCCCGATATCGAATGCCGGTTAAATTACCATTTAACACAACAACCCTGGTACGAGTCCACCCCAAACAATTACACTTCCGCCTCCAAAGCGGTCCCGTTCTGCGACGCAGCAGTTCGAAAAACGCTCCCCTCGTCGCCTCCACACTCTGCGCCTTCCGTCACCGTTGCAGACAAAACCTGGACTCTTCTGAAAACAGAACTTTGTTCCATTGTCGTAAGGCCCAACGACAGTGAAAACGGGTCCAGTTACGCCGATTATTACGGTGACGTCGCAACAAATTGGGTCCAGTGTAGGGACGCCGCGCTTTCAATTGGTAGGCCCTCAACCTGTTTCGGACTGTTTGGGGAGACACACGACGCCCAGACAATGTCCTTGTAGTATCTACTGCGGTTACGAATCGATTGCGCAAGTGTATCAATCGTATACGACGGTCATCCCTGGCGATCGAATGTTGACCCAGTTTGGTTTAAACGGCTTACCAACTGGCAAATTGTCTTAACACTGCAACCAAAATGCCGTGCAACTCGACGGCGAGACTCCCCAGCCTGGATCATGCCTACAGCCTTTTCTCTCTGTACTTGTGACAGCCGGGGCATAATGATAAAGTTGATAGATAGCAAGATTTTGCTTGTTTTTTTTTATTTATTTCAAGTTAAATATACATGTCTGTACAATGGTAATAATATATTTTCCAACACACTCTTTCTCTTTAAATTGTCACTCTCCTTTGGCATCAATATTCTTTTATCTATTTTTTTCCTTTCAATTGTCACTCTTTTTTCTCAGCTTTCAGCTCGTTCAATTTTCGAAAGGTCTCTTTAAAACTTCCCCTAAGTATCGATGTCTTTCACTTTTCTGCAATGCATCAATCATTAAAACAATTTCTTGCCTTACATATTTTAGAATTTATAAAGTCCTTCACCTCGTAATCTCTATCAAATTTTATCTTATTTTTTTTCTTTTTATATCTACTACTTTGTTGTAAAAACAAACATATTTATTATCACATTACAATTCATTTCTATGTCACAACTTCCAAATATATCACCTTTCTCACTTATATAAAAAAAATTAATTTGAGTGATATATTTCACCCAACACTTTGTTGATCCATGATTCAATTGTCTTCCAAATGTTTTTAGTCTTATAACATGTGTAAAATAGGTGAATTTGAGTTTCAACATGTAAATGACAAAATGTACATTATTCATGAGACATTTTCATTTTCAATAATTTTGCCTCAGTAGAAATAATAATATGCAAACATTTCGATTGGAAATCGCTACATTTGCTATTTGCTATAGACCTACTTAACGCAATCCAAATCTTAACACAATTTATTTCATCTTCGTATACTGTATTTCAGGTATTTTGTGATTTGGGATAATAGTTTGTATCCAAATCTACTACTTTTAAAGTTTTATTTATTAACTTTGTAGGTTGTATTATTTCATTGTTTCTATTTGTTTTAATATATAATTCTTCTATTTCAGCTATTGGTTCAGTTATTGGTATTTCTTGATTTAAGCTCTTGTATCCAATTGTCACATGAGGATATTGTCGTCTTTACAATGATATCCAGTTATCCTTGAATAACAATTTCTCCCTTCATTCTTGAGAATTAATAAAATCATTTTTCCTTCATTCCATATATCTTTTATTTTTTTGTTATATTAGATTTAGTAATTAGTAAATGTGTGTATTTTGTTTTTCAATTTATGGTAAAAAATGTAAATAAGTCTCTAAATATGACAGATTTGATCACATTTCTGTTTATTTTCCAGTACCCTGGACCTCTGTTAGCTGTAAACATGTTGTTATACAAGGCACGCCATAATGGTCATCTTTCGTAAAGGGACTGAACTCTATACTAGTTTTAGTCATTTTACTGTCTAAAGAGGAAGAAATTAAAGAATTGTCTACCCTCGATTGTTTATTACTTCTCCTAAATGTGAAACGTATTTTGTCTAAGTTTCTCCTTCTCCAAACATCTTCTAATTGTAGTGATTGAATTAAATTATTTAGTTCTTTTTTTTTCCCGCCCTCTACTCCATCTGATGTACAGTTATTTCTGTCTAAATCCTTATTAAGGACACAATTAAAATCTCCGCCTATGATAATAAAACTATTTCTATACGTTTTGGTCGACAGTTTCTGTTTCATTGTTAAAAAATGTTTGTTTACTTTTAGTATCATTCGGGGCATATATGTTGCATAATGTTATGTTGGAATTCTCAAGCTCAAAGGAAAGGATGATATATCTACCATCTCTTTCACTATATATTTGATTTACCTTTAAACCCCGTTTCAATAATATTGCAACCCCTCTAGAAGAAGAGGAACCTCTTGAGAAAAAATATTCTCCATTCCACTCCCTTTTCCATTTAAACATGGTATTTTCATCCCCACAGTGAACTTCATTGCATAAATAATATATGCTTGAATTTTTCCGAAACCAATAGAATAAATTTCTTCGTTTTTCAGAATTATTAAGACCCTTTACATTAATGGTACATATTGAATGAGCCATAGAAGATCATTGTAAAGAGAAAATGTTCACAAACATTAAAATATTAATCATGTTTCAACTGATTTCTCACCAAATCGAACTTGTTTAGCATCTGGAGGATTGTCGAGTGAAGTATCACTACGGTTTCGCTTGCTACTTTGTTCTAAGATTCCCTTTTAGGATGCCACGATCATTTCAGCTCCCTGAGAACTAATGTGAACCGCCTGTGTGTCATTCAGGTCATAGAGCATTTTCATGGGAACATCCTTATTTAGGAATAGTTTGTCTATTTGTCTATAGTAACATTGGTGACAGATTTTTCTACATCAAGAACCCTGCAGTGGAGATCTCTAATGCTCACTCCACTTCCTAATAAGGCATATTTGTGTCTCTCCTCTTGAAGGGTGACAACACACTCACCTTCCTTGAGCTGGATGCCTTTGCTGAATTCCCTGCTGAGGGCCCCATCTAAACCAGACATGACTTTCTCGTTTGTCAACCTGTGCAGAAGTCTGGTATAAAATGCAGACTAGTTTTTCTTGGAATAGTTTTCATTATAACAAAATGATGTGTACTGCACGTTCTAGAATGTAACAGGGGCTTGGGTAGCAATTCAAACATGTAGACTCCCACTTAAAGTGGAGTTATGTCCAAAAAACACAGAGCGAAATAACCCACTGTAACACCATCAGGGTAGACAACCTTGTTCCATAAATCCCATAATTTCATTTGTTAACTTAACCATAACCACAGATTTTTATATTCCAATTGAATTTTATTAATCTTAGAAAAAATAGACAAATGAAAATAAATGAATCAACAAGTTCAATGAATTAAACAAAAGGGGTATTATGTCATCACCAGACAGATATCCTTACTTTCTCTTCTATCCTTTATGTAGCTTTAGAAATGGATAGCTTCTAACAATTCAGTATCATACTGCGTTCCAATTTATCTATCGAGAAAAGATTGATTTCTAGTTCATGCACAACTGCAATAATTTACTTTGAAAATATTGAGCTTGCTAATTGGACACAGCTGTTATTAAAATCAGGTTTAGTGGAAGAGAAAATGCACAATATGGAATTTGCACGGTATATCAACCAAAACGTTTCGTTTATCTCCTATTGACTTACATAGTTCTTTTACATAATTAATATTTCAAAAAATTTTCAGAATATTCTAGGAGTATCTTATATATCTAAACTGATGGGTTCATTGTCTTCAAGGCATCTTAATAATTTCAGTGTGCATATGTATCAGAAACATATCGACCGTATTTAGGTGGTTTTCCTTCATCAGATTAAGTTTTCTTTTTGGAAATGTTGTTTATCGCCCAGTGAACAGTAAGGGTCAGTGTCTCCTTGTTGTAGCTAATAAGTTTCTCACTAATAACATGCCTGAAACCTGTCACATCTCATCTCATTCAGAACAAAAGAGCAAAGTATTTAGCCGAAAGACAAACCACATCAGCACAAATAGTTTCGTTTTACAACTTCCTAAGACACACACACAAACGTCACTGGAAAGGAGTATCGAACCACGAGCCTCAAATCTTCACACAAGGCTTCTTTTTCTTACTGAACTGCCTCTCCCCCTTCTTCAGGTGATTCTAACTTCTACCATGTTCACTGACTAACGATTTTAATACTTATATTATAAAAAAGAAGGTCTGTAATACTTAAGACCTGTTGAACAGGAAGTGGCCATATTTGAGTCTAAGTTACCAACCTTGTATGTCCATTCACATATTACGTATCAACCTTATTGCCAAACTTATCTATAAATTAATGTTGACAAATTTTCAATAAACTGTAGAATTCCTCTGAAATATATTATGCATATAGTAAACAACCACCTTTTTCATCTTTTTTCAAAACATAACGGGGGTAATTATACCACAACAGATACCTACATAATGCGCAATATTACATGATTGCCTGAATACTCATTTATATTTTTGCTGATGTTTATTATAGCCTACTTTTACGTCACTACAGAAAATGTGATGACGACAAACATTTACAGATATAATTGTGACGTAACATTTGACAACCAAAGAGCGGTCACAACTTCACGTTTGACATATAAAGGTCACTGTTTCTACCATATTTGCTTGAAAAATCGGTCATGTGAAAAAAAAATAATTATAAATTTGTATCAATGCGATTTATGATTTTGTGTCAGCACGCCTATGAATTATCTTAAGGCAAGTTTCAGAAGTTTACATGTTGTGACATATTGTGATAAGTTTTATTGCTTCGCCCGATAACAGTATTGAGAAAAGCAATAAAAACCACCCCAATAAATCCAGCGATTACAAAGATTCGCTCGATTAATTTTTTGTATGTAGATCGTGATTCATTTACATTTTACATTTGCGTAGGGTAGGTCGACTCTCAAGACTATATGGATTTTGTAAATAACATTATTCATTATGATGAATTATTAACTGTACTTGAACTTTTGCCTCAGGGAGACTTTCTTTACCTTTCCTGGCTGCCATTTTGCGCCATATTTTGATCTAGAATATGAAATCTGAAGAAGATTGCCGTTATCCTGGAGACTCTTGGTTAACACACAATCTATATAACACTGGTACACTAACAGGCTATGTAAACTATCTGTTAATTATTGGGAATATGATTGTGAGCTGTTTAAAAGGTTGTGTCTTCTGTATTGCTTTGTTTGTTAATATATTGCTAACATGTTTTAATCTAATAATGTATCACATCTCATGACAACTACTCATTACTTTAAAGGGAAATTCAATAAGATTAACAAGATGACAAGGAAAATGAAGTTTTGTGGAAAATAAATATTATGTAATTTGTAATGCTCTCCTTTACTTTGCGAAGTTGATTTTGTTTCAAAAAAAAGGAAAAATCGAATTTAAAAACAAATTCCCGAAAATAACGAACGCTGAAAATACCACCGCGTCTTCGACATCTTCATTATCCTCATCTACAAAACAAATAAACAGAACATAATATAGCAAATGTTACATAATATCAAACAAATAAAACAAAAAAATACTAAACCGAAACTTCATGTCGCTTTATATTTTTAGCGTTTAACACTGATTGATAACCACCTTCGTAAAGTTGCTGATAAAAGGATACGATGTCGTTAATATGAATCTGTTGCGAGATTCTTAAGATATGACTTTGATTCGGAACGAGAAAGGATAGACGGGCGTATGGGTAATACTATATATCCATTCATCCCATAAAAAATTATATCCGTCGATCAAAGCATGACATCAATTCCAAATGAACTCTTAGATCTTATACTTACCCTTACAGGTAGGGCCCGAGTAACCCGGTCTGCATGTACATACAAAACTGTTACCAACAGAATTGGTACAAACTCCTAGGTTGTGGCAGGGCGAGCTTCCACATGGATTAGCAACTATTAAAGAGTTACAAATTGAAATTCACAATATGGAATACAACATTTACCATGATTAGCATCAAATGATATTCCACGCTCAAATAAAACTAGGGAAAATATGAACAAAAAAGGAATAAGTATATACAAATATGGAGGGAACAACCAATCAGACTCTTAAATTTCCAAAAACATTAGCTGCTTTGATGTTTTTTTGTTTTTGTTTTTGTTTTTGTTTTTGTTTTTTTTTGTTTTGTTTTTTTTTTTTTTTGTTATTTTCTTCAGTTGTGACCTTATGCACCGTTGTGTTTCTGTTAAGGGACGGAGATACTAAGTCACGTGAAGGTTTAATACAGACATATTAAATCATCACCAAACCAGGATATTTTATAATCAACTTTACCGACTTAATTATTCAACCGCTTAGTGTAAGGCTTGATTCTCACCTTGACAAGTAACTTCAATAAAGACTGATGTAGAAGTACAAGAAAATATCCCCATTGTTGGAAAACTGACACAAGTTCTACTCTTTTGACTTACTTATTTACGATTTTCGCATTGAAATTTTCTGTAAAATTACAATGAAAATTAATTGTATACTGAAATTACTTTGTAAAATATATACCTAGTTGCTATTCTAATTGTTTTAAAAGCATTACGTTCAGGTCATTTTATAATAAACATAGACTTTCACCCTTTCTGGCTAGTCTGCATATAATATTAGTTAGTGTCTGAGATTAACATAAGTAACTATAAAAAAATCAAGAAAATACAAACATGACAACAAAATTATAATTCTAACTCAACGTCCATAAAATTATGTCAAACTATGAACAAAAAAAAAAAGATTTACATGAAAACTCATGAAAAGGTAAAAGGAATATAAAACTAGCTGTTCAGGAAGAGTAGGCGTCTTCTGCTTCAACGACGATACCCGCCATGTAAACTTCGTCAATCCAAGTAAGTAATGTCACTTTCTCAATTGATAACGAGGTATAGATAACATAACAAACAGACAAACTGACGCGCATGAAATACGTCCAGCTTCATGTTGCACAAAGAAGCAGAGTACATCTCAATGATATCACTATTATGACCATAAAACTTCATCAATCTGCATCTTCTTTAGTTTGTCAGTCGGTTGACGACTTCCTGAACAAAAATCGTGATAATTGGAAGAGGCTCTTGAATATCGAATCAACTGTAATATGTAAATGCCATAGCTTGGAGATGCTATGATATTCCTATCCAGAAATTGAAAATTCACTATAGGGAAATTGAAATCATCACGTTTATCATACAACTTGATGGAAAGATGTCCATCTTGTTTCGTTGTAGGAAAAGATCGAGATATACAGCTGATGTAGACAAGTCTGTCGTATCTTTGATTTCCAATTCAGGTGGATATATATGATGGACGTAGAAAATAAATTCCTAGTTTTTAAAGACAAGACATCATCGATATATCTGAAGGTGAAATTGAACGACTTTGCAAGGTCTTTGTGACCTGATTTTTTCTTCTTCAATAAATTCCACCTCGTATAAAAAACAAGTCAGCCAACAGAGGGGCGCAGTTAGTTCCCATGGGTATGCCAATAGTCTGTTGGAAGATCTTACCACCGAACCCGATCCTTTTTATGATTTCCTCCTCCGTTAAGTGTTCTTCTTTTATTTAAAGTCAATTTTACTAAATACTCTTCAGTATTGCTCATAACAGTTTATTTATACCGCCGTTCACCTTTCTTGGAGAAGAATAATTATAGCCAAATTAAAGTAACCGTTAGATTGATGTAAAAGAGTACGAGCCTTTTTTTGCTGACTTAACCTGTATGAGATATATATCTATGAAGGTACAATGACCATCTTTGACGCAAAACACATCTTTTCCCGGCTTAATATAACCATGAAATATCACCAATGAATGATGATGTCAGTTACGAGAAATGATTCTTACTACGGATGACGTTAATGGACATTATATTTGACTCTTACCTGTGCAAGTAATTCCTGTAAAAACCTGTGTACAACTGCACACAAAACTGCCAGTTGTCGGAGAATTAGCACACGTACCGCCATTTTGACAAATTGATGATGTACACGGGACAGGATCTGTCTTATATAAGATATCACTTAGCATCGATTATAAATAAGCTTGCCGTTGATGAGAAACTTGATTCAACAATGATGAAAGAATATCAATTGTCAATCGTTTTACAAGGTTGATATAAAGCTTTGAAGATAGAAATATTCAATGCTGTACGAGCATGATAGTCCGGAAGGTCTACTATTATTTTGCAAGTACAGTTCACAATATTGATATTTACTGCGGATTTTGCTTTACTTTCCATACTCATATGGGAGTTATGCAACGAGTCTGAAAATGTTTCATTATAACATGCTTATGGCAAAGTAACATTAATACATCATGATGAATCTCATGAATATCGTATGGGTTAGAAACAAATATAACGTTCATATAACTATATATTCCTCCAAGATTACGAGAAAGTAAATAGTACCGAAATTGGTGAGAACCACATTCAGTATCTATATTTATATCATGATGTCATAGTGCAAACAATAGAACAGTGGAAAAGAGGAAACAGTCAACTGTACATTAAATGTGTGGTTATAACAAAAGTTACAAACGGTTGTCATTATACTGGTCACAGGGTAGCTATATGATAAACGTGTATTCTTTTCCCTAACAAAGTGAATTAATCATCGGTATACGTAACATCTACAAAAAGCGGTACTTACCTGAACAGGTAGTTCCAGTAAAGTCCGGTGTACAAGTGCATACAAAACTGCCTGAGTTAGGATTATCATTACAGGTGCCACCATTTTGACAGGTTGTCGCCGAGCACGGTACCGGATCTGATAATTGACAATATGCTGGTAAAAGTATCAAGAATTTAAACACACGGTATATATACCATCTATATTATCTGTTGTTTAATCACGACATTGTTGATAAAATGCAAACTAGCAGAGGAAATCTAACAGATTGATCTGAATGAAATTTATCTTTTGTAAAAGTAAAGTGTCCTGTTCAGTTTTAATGCATCGTAAGTGTATCGAAGTGTTTTTAGTGCGAGTGTATCTTTACTTCGATCTTCAATGACATCATAATGGGAGCGGGCCAGTTATGTAGAAGATACTGGACAGTACGGTTATTAAAATATTGAGAACTACCTTTTAACACTAAGTCTTTTCATCCATATAAATATATCGATGTAAACATTTGTGATGTTTAGTATGTATTTTATGAGAAAGTTTTATTCGTTTACAATAGCTTTAATTTTCAGGAAACTCTCAGAGTTCATTTGTCGATGCGTACAATGATTATGGCATTACTGTTACAGATTTTATATAATAGATTGTTTTAATTATTAACAAGTAAGATTAATTTCAGATAGATTTTTTTTTAATTCAACTGTTAACCCATCTGAACCTGGTCTTTTATTGTTTTTCATGTTTTTTTAGGGTATCAGAAGCTTCCTTAAGAGTAATAAGACCTTCCAAGCTATCAGATTCCACCTTACTTAATTTTGGAACATGGTAATATTTCAAAATCTCATCAAAATATGCAGCTTCTATATATTTATTATATAAATGCTCATAAAAAGACTTCACTTCCCTTAAAATATCCTCTTGTTTAGTAACTATTTCCCCATTATCTAATTCTAATTTGGGAATTATTTTTGAAGTGTAATTTCTATTTTCTAAATTTAAAAAATAACTAGAAGTTTTCTCACCATCTCCAATCCACCTGGCCTTTGAGCGTATGACACTTCCCTTAATCTTATGATGTCTTATAACTTCCAATTCCTTTTTCTTCTTATTAAGTACATCTATATTTACATTATTCTGTTGCCCAAGACATTTGCTTTCATTTTTTAATACAGTCCGCCTTTAAGTTCTGTTGTTTCGTCTTGTAAGAAGAGTACGAAATAGATTTGCCTCTAATTTCCATTAATAAGGTTTCTAAAACCAACTGGTCATGAATAACAAAATCAAAGTCATGACATCCAGGATGTTTTTACATAATCTGGATTGTATACAGGGAGACAATACTGCAGTTTAATATTCATAATCGTATTATTAATAAGCTTTATATATTCTTGATCAAATGGAGACGAATGATCAGACTGATAGCCAGGTTCAATGCCTATTTCATATGTACTAAGTATGAGGCTACACGATGCCAAGATAAAATAACAAGGTTGCTCCTCCTCCATGTATACCTCCTGGAATCAGAATGCTGTTCATCAATTAAAACAAAATTTTCCATGATCTCTAGTACTTTTTCTCTGGACTTTGGATTGTTTACCTTTTTGTATGATTCGTCATAATCTAGCTCGGGATTCAGGATCAGGTTAAAGTTAACGCATACTATACACTTATCGGTCTTAAACTCATACAGTATTTCTTCTATCAACCCAAAAAAGGTTCATAGTTATTTGGACCATAAATAGACATTACTGTTAAATTAATGCCCTCTATTTACAAATTTAGTGCTAAGAAATTCCCAAACTTATCTCTTTTCTCCTTAATTACCTTTACTTAAAAATGATTGTTTAATAGAATAGCAACACCCCTAGCATTTCATTTAAAAGAACTAAAAAAGCAGAAATAGCTCCATTAATTTCTTATTAATTCCTCATTATTATCTGAAAAATGCGTGTCTTGGAGACAATAAAGGTTAATTTTTTTACTTCTTTGATATGCAAATACATCTCTACGTTTCATTTTGTCACCTAAACACTGACAATTAACTAATAAGAACATTATCCCTTCTCCTATACGTAACGTTTAACTGACTAGATTCTCCTTTCATGGATGTTTGAAGAGGATAGTCAAAGGGCAAAACAAAAAACAAACAGAAGTAAGAGAGAAATACAGTAGAGGATAGAGACAGAAACAGAAGCTAGCTAAAGTATACGGTTTAGGAGAGAGAGAACTGATCATGATAGTACCCATAAGGAGACCTACTGCTAGTGTAAACACCAATGTACTGTAATAGAACCTTAGATGCTGATATACAATGACTTTACAAAAGTTAATTGATATCTACATCACTTGTTATTGCACAGTGCAGAATATAAGACTCTTCCATATGCGTGTATGTAGGATAGGGATATTCCACCCGATGGTCACAAAATATGGTGAAACCCGAGGCGCTGCCGAGGGTGGAATATCCCTATCCTACATACACACATAATGAATCTTTTTCTCTCATATCTTTTCCAATATTTTGAGAAAAGGACAGTCGGTCGGCCATTATCTTCATTTTTTCATTTTTTTAATCCGAGGTTTTTATAAAAAAAAAAAAACGGACTGAATATTCTTATCGATCATACCCATATTTTGCAAACTTTTAGTTTGCTGTCAAATTTCAAACCATTTTTCGGTATATTGCAGGATGAATATAGTATTCGCAGACGAAAATAAACCAAAAATAATCTCTGTGTGATTATATAGTATGTGTAAGTAAACATCCGCGAAAAGAAATTGTTCCGTCAAATGCTTCAAAGAAATCAACAAGGAACGGATTTTTATCATTAAACATATAGTTTTATCATCAAAATCACATATTTGATCATTTTAAGAAATATACCAATGTATCTTTTTACTGTTTAATCATTTTTTTAAATACTGTGACGCTGACATGACGTCACCATAGTCAAAAGAATTCCATTCATAAATTCAAGGCGTGACGTCACACGATCTCCTATTCCGAGTCGCTGTCGCTCTCGATCACCATGATTCGACGACGTTTGGGTGGTGGAACATTTGTGGTGATATTTACGGTGGTTTGGCAATTTTCAATGTGAGAACCAGCAAACAAGGATTCGATGCGCGTTTTAGATTGTTTCTGTGATACAGGGTTGTAGGTGTTAACCGTGTTTTCTGTTGTGATGACGATGGTAAACACATTGTGACATCAGATGCAGGCCTAGTAACTGTTGAAGTTGATGAAATGGTGGCAGAGGATGGTGTTCGGTTTGATGGAATTAATTCGGAGCTTTTTGTGTTTGACAACATATTGGAAATATTGTACTTCTGTCTGTCATTCAGTGTCCTGTAATTTATCAGCCTCTGTGTGTTTTTATGACCCTTGACATAAACCTGCAAGGTATCTGGTACATGGTTGTTGGTCATTTTTTGTACAAGGGATTTTCGGACGCTAGTATTTGTCAATCGTTCGCAACCAGGTAGGTTTGCTTTCTTCGCCATCACTCTCATCATATTGTCGAGCTTGCATTTTTCTACAGCGGCACGCAAATACCATTTATCTCTAACGTTGGGATTTTTGTCGTTTGTAACTGCCGCCAAATAAAAGGGGTCATCTACATTACATAGGTCTTCCGCACGTTTTGCTTCATAGAAACAGTAGAGGGACACGGGGCATCTTTCGGGAGTTTGTGGGGTGGCATATATTCTAGGAGGGAATGGACGGGTGTTCCTTATATCTTCACCTGTTCTAGGTTTTGTTATACGTTCGAGGTATTCCAAAAAATTCAAACCTACTTCAGAGTCGTGCTTTAATACGACATCTCCGCAGCACTTTGCTCGGTGCTCAGTCGATCCACCCCTAATTCCAAAATGTAATGTATTTTAGAACCACAAAGTATTTAGAACAGAGTTTGGGTTGTTGTTTCCTAGTACATTCATAGCATACAGATTTTCTATATCATCGTCAGATAATGGTGAAGCTCTAAATGGCTTTGACCCTTTCCTTGTGATTTCAAATCACGCTGTTTTAATCTAGTCATACTTTTATCATCAGCTTACAATTATACTATACATCTAAGTATCTGAAGTATGATAAGAGGAAATTAATGTACCTTACAATGGTTGAAATAGAGCAATACATAGCCAAAGGAGCCTATTATTCATGTTCAAATACAAGAAAAATGATTAAATTTAACCCACCAAAATTTTATACAGATACTAGGAATGGATTCATAATAGAGGGGAGCTCCTCTTTAATGTTTGTTATAACCATGCTACAAATATTTACTGTCCTACAACATTATACTTGCCAAGCCGAAAAACAATGTTACCAAGTCACAAGTTCAACACAATATCAACCACAGACGAAGCTGAGATCCGTGATCTACATTTTATATTAACCTAACATGTTTCATTTAGATTTAAGATGTGTTTCATAACGATTGAGGACCTGGTACACTACATCAGGTCAATAAACAGTATATCAATGTTTTTATCATTATGTCACAGTGCAAACAATAGAACCATGGGAAAATGGAAACAGTCAACTGTTTATTGGATGTGTGGTTATAACAAAAGTTACAAACGGGTGTTATTATACTGGTCACAGGGTAGTTATATGATAAACGTGTATTCTTTACCCTAACAAAGTAAATTAATCATCGGTATACGTAACCTCTACAAAAAGCGGTACTTACCTGAACAGGTAGTTCCAGTAAAGTCCGGTGTACAAGTGCATACAAAACTGCCTGAGTTAGGATTATCATTACAGGTGCCACCATTTTGACAGGTTATCGCCGAGCACGGTACCGGATCTGAAAATTGACAATATGCTGGTAAAAGTATCAAGAATTTAAACACACGGTATATATACCATCTATAGTATCTGTTGTTTAATCACGACATTGTTGATAAGATGCAACCTAGCAGAGGAAATCTAACAGATTGATCTGAATGAAATTTATCTTTTGTAAAAGCAAAGTGTCCTGTACAGTTTTAATGCATCGTATTTGCATCGAAGTGTATTAAGTGCTAGTGTATCTTTACTTTGATCTTCAATGACATCATAATGGGAACGGACCACTTATGTAGAAGATACTAGACAGTACGGTTATTGAAATATTGAGAACTACCAAGAAGTCTTTTTATCTTTATAAATATATCGATGTAAATATTTGTGATGTTAAATATGTATTTTATAAGATAGTTTTATTCGTTTACAATAGCTTTAATTTCAGGAAACTCTCAGCGTTTTTTTTTTTTTTTTTTGATGCGTACAATTATTATGGTATTGCTGTTACAGATATTGATATAATAGATTGTTTTAAGTTTTAAGGTAAGATTGATTTCAATTAGAATATTTGTTAATGTAGCTCTATCAGAATTGTTGAGTTGGCAATTAAATCCGAAAATGTTTGAGATACGATATTATCAATTTATTAAATCATTATCAATATTTTTCAGGGAAAACTAACTTCTGAAATTCATGTGGGTTTCGCCTTACATTCATTAAAAGACTTGTCTGTTTAAAAGAAGTATTATCAAGTGTGTTTGGTTGAACATAAATTGAATATTGAGGATTATCTTATGTTATCTGTTAATGATTTTCTCCACTTTCTTAAATATTAGAATTAAATAGCGAGATGACATTTATCAGTTTATTATAAATATATTTTGAGAATATATATATCTTGAACGTTGTATTGCACGCTTGCAAAAACGTCTCTTTCCCTCATGTAGTAGAATTTCTATTGATACTGATTCTTGTGTCTTTTCATTACTTTCATTGTGTACTTTCCTTTACAGAAGATATCATTTTTTTTTTTTTTTTTTTTTTTGCTTTTTTTTTTCTTTTTTTTTAAATCATAGTTGTTCAATCCCCTTAGGTAAACACGCTATTATACCCTGTCTCTGAGTGACAGACAACTGATTGTTTCTAAAACCATAATTAATAGACCTAACAAAAAAGTTCCCCAAATCTTTCCATTTTACTTTAAATTCCACTGTTAACCCATCTAAACCTGGACTTTTATTGTTTTTCCATGTTTTTTAGAGTATCAGAAACTTCCATAAGAGTAATAAGACCTTCCCAGCTATCAGATTCTAACTTACTTAAGTTTGAACATGGTAATTTTTCAAAATTTCATCTAAATATGCAGTTTCTATATATTTGTCTTCATTATATAAATGCTCATAAAAAGACTTCACTTCCCTTAAAATATCCTCTTGTTTAGTAACTATTTCCCCATTATCCAATTCTAATTTGGGAATTATTTTCGAAGTGTAATTTCTATTTTCTAAATTTAAAAAATAACTAGAATGTTTTTCGCCATCTTCAATCCACCTGACCTTTGAGCGAATGACACTTCCCTTTATCTTATGATGTCTTATATCTTCCAACTCTTTTTCTTATTAAGTACATCTATATTTACATTATTCTATTGCTCAAGACATTTGATTTTTAATACAGTCCTCCTTTAAGTTCTGTTGTTTCTTCTTGTAAGAAGAGTACGAGATAGATTTGTCTCTAATGTCCATTAATAAGGTTTCTAAAGACAACTGATCACGAATAACAAAATCTAAGTCATCACATCTAGGATTTTATTTACATAATCTGGATGGTATACAGGGAGACAATACTGCAGTTTAATATTCATAATCGTATTAATAATAAGCTTTATATATTCTTGATCAAATGGAGACGAATGATCAGACTGATAGCCAGGTTCAATGCCTATTTCATATGTACTAAGTATGAGGCTACACGATACCAAGATCAAAATAACAAGGTTGCTCCTCTTCCATGTATGCCTCCTGGAATCAGAATGCTGTTCTCTAAAGACATCAATTAAAACAAAATTTTCCATGATCTCTAGTACTTTTTCTCTGGACTTTGGATTGTTTACCCTTTTGTATGATTTGTCATAATCTAGCTCGGGATTTAGGATCAGGTTAAAGTTAACACATACTATACACTTATTGGTCTTAAACTCATACAGTGTTTCTTCTACTCAAAAAACGTTCATCGACATTTGAACCATAAATAGACATTACTGTTAAATTAATGCCCTCAATTTACAAATTTAGTGCTAAGAAATTCCCAGACTTATCTCTTTCCTCCTTAATTACTTTTACTTCAAAATGATTGTTTAATAGAATAGCAACACCCCTAGCATTTCATTTAAAAGAACTAAAAGAGCAGAAATAGACCCATTAATTTCTTATTAATTCCCCATTATTATCTGAAAAATGCGTGTCTTGGAGACAATAAAGGTTAATTTTTTTACTTCTTTGATATGCAAATACATCTCTACGTTTCATTTTGTCACCTAAACACTGACAATTAACTAATAAGAACATTATCCCTTCTCCTATACGTAACGTTTAACTGACTAGATTCTCCTTTCATGGATGTTTGAAGAGGATAGTCAAAGGGCAAAACAAAAAACAAACAGAAGTAAGAGAGAAATACAGTAGAGGATAGAGACAGAAACAGAAGCTAGCTAAAGTATACGGTTTAGGAGAGAGAGAACTGATCATGATAGTACCCATAAGGAGACCTACTGCTAGTGTAAACACCAATGTACTGTAATAGAACCTTAGATGCTGATATACAATGACTTTATAAAAGTTAATTGATATCTACCTCACTTGTTATTACACAGTGCAGCGAGGGTCACAAAATATGGTGAAACCCGAGGCGCTGCCGAGGGTTTTACCATATTTTGTAACCCCGTTGGTGGAATATCCCTATCCTACATACACACATAATGAGTCTTTTTCTCTCATATCTTTACCAAAAATTTTGAGAAAAGGACAGTCGGTCGGCCATTATCTTCATTTTTTTCATTTTTTTAATCCGAGGTTTTTATATAAAAAAAAACGGACTGAATATTCTTATCGATCATACCCATATTTTGCAAACTTTTAGTTTGCTGTCAAATTTCAAACCATTTTTCGGTATATTGCAGGATGAATATAGTATTCGCAGATGAAAATAAACCAAAAATAATCTCTGTGTGATTATATAGTATGTGTAAGTAAACATCCGCGAAAAGAAATTGTTCCGTCAAATGCTTCAAAGAAATCAACAAGGAACGGATTTTTATAATTAAACATATAGTTTTATCATCAAAATCACATATTTGATCATTTTAAGAAATATATCAATGTATCTTTTTACTGTTTAATCATTTTTTTTAAATACTGTGACGCTGACATGACGTCACCATAGTCAAAAGAATTCCATTCATAAATTCGAGGCGTGACGTCACACGATCTCCTATTCCGAGTCGCTGTCGCTCTCGATCACCATGATTCGACGACGTTTGGGTGGTGGAACATTTGTGGTGATATTTACGGTGGTTTGGCAATTTTCAATGTGAGAACCAGCATACAAGGATTCGATGCGCGTTTTAGATTGTTTCTGTGATACAAGGTTGTAGGTGTTAACCGTGTTTTCTGTTGTGATGACGATGGTAAACACACTGTGACATCAGATGCAGGCCTAGTAACTGTTGAAGTTGATGAAATGGTGGCAGAGGATGGTGTTCGGTTTGATGGAATTAATTCGGAGCTTTTTGTGTTTGACAACATATTGGAAATATTGTACTTCTGTCTGTCATTCAGTGTCCTGTAATTTATCAGCCTCTGTGTGTTTTTATGACCCTTGACATAAACCTGCAAGGTATCTGGTACATGGTTGTTGGTCATTTTTTGTACAAGGGATTTTCGGACGCTAGTATTTGTCAATCGTTCACAACCAGGTAGGTTTGCTTTCTTCGCCATCACTCTCATCATATTGTCGAGCTTGCATTTTTCCACAGGGGCACGCAAATACCATTTATCTTTAACATTGGGATTTTTGTCGTTTGTAACTGCCGCCAAATAAAAGGGGTCATCTACATTACAGAGGTCTTCCGCACGTTTTGCTTCATAGAAACAGTAGAGGGACACTGGGCATCTCTCGGGAGTTTGTGGGGTGGCATACATTCTAGGAGGGAATGGACGGGCGTTCCTTATATCTTCACCTGTTCTAGTTTTTGTTATACGTTCGAGGTATTCCAAAAAATTGAAACCTACTTCAGAGTCGTGCTTTAATACGAAATCTCCGCAGCACTTTGCTCGGTGCTCAGTCGATCCACCCCTAATTCCAAAATGTAATGTATTTTGGAACCACAAAGTCTTTAGAACAGAGTTTGGGTTGTTGTTTCCTAGTAAAATCATAGCATACAGAGTTTCTATATCATTGTCAGTATATATTTATGTGACTTCTCAACATTTTTCAGAGCATTTACACATGCTTATATGTAATTATGTACAAACACATGTACTTGATGTGTGTTTTGTAAGTAACACAATAATTATAGTCAATTTGTGTAACATACAATTATAATGAATATATTCTCATGTCATAAAGTAAACTTAAATTTACAAATGGTAAAACTATTTAATATTTTTCACTCTATTACATTATGTCAAAATTACATTTGATAACATTAAATGTGCAGGGATTAAGAAATAAACAAAAAAGAAGTAGATTCTATGAATGGGTAAAACAACAAAAAAGTCACATAATTTTGGTACAAGAAACACATTTTACACAAGATATAGTTCCAATTATTAATGCTGAATGGTCAGGCGAAATAATACATAGTTTTGGCACATCAAATAGCAGAGGAGTAAGTATTTTCATACATACAAAGATCAACTCACAAATGATTAATTCATATAAGGATAATGAAGGCAGATTAGCAATAGTAAACATCAAAAATAAATGACGACATATACTGTATCACAAATGTATATGCTCCAAATAAAAAACAAACTAGAAATATTTTTGTAGGGCAGGTAAATGAACAAATATCAGAAAATAGTGATGGCTTCAACATAATAGGTGGAGACTGGAATGAGGTACAAACACCCGATGATAGAAAATCTATAGCTAAACATCAAAAACCTGTAAACAACTTTGAAAAAAATACTAAAGGAAAAGAATTTTCTAGATCCTTGGAGGCATAGAAATCAAGGAAAAAAACAATATACATGGAAGAGAAAAAATAATAATCATGAAGCCAGCAGAATAGATTACTTCCTCATACAAAGGGAGTTAACTCCACACATAATATCATCTGATATTCGCCCTGCAATAATTAAATGCACAGACCATTTAGGGGTTTCATTGATTTTAAATACTGAAAAAGTGAAAAGGGTTCCTGGTTACTGGAAATTAAACAACAGCCTCCTGAATGATGTAATATATATAAATATGATACAAAAATTTTTAAAAAGATACAATAGATCATTATAAGAAAACAACAAAAATAAAATAACATGGTGGGAAATGTGTAAAGTAGAAATCAGAGACAAATTAATTAAATATGGTAAACTAAAAGCGAAAATAAAGAAAAATGTTATAACAGAACTAGAAAAAAGGCTTCGTGAAGCCATGGAAGTAAATAATAATGAAGAATATACAAGAATAGAGAGTCAATTAGAAAATACCTACATAAGTAAAGCTCATGGAGCTCAAATAAGATCAAGATCAAAATGGTGGGAAGAGGGTGAAAAAAATACAAAGTATTTCTTATCACTAGAAAAAACTAGACAAACACAAAAATCTATAGTGAAAGTATATGACAGTCAAGGTAATATTTTATCAAATCAATTTGACATATTACAGCGTGAAAGGAGATATTATGAACAATTATATACATAAAAAAAACCAGACGTAAAACAAATTTATAGTTACATAAACAATATAAAACTAGAGCAATCCTTATCGGAGACTGAAGCAAATACATGTGAAGGACTACTTACGTTAGAAGAATGTACAAAAGCTATTTATAGAATGAAATTAGATAAATCACCTGGGTCAGATAGACTGACAGTAGAATTCTACAGAAAATTTTGGCCTAATTTGAAATCAATTGTTGTAAACTCATTAAATGAAGGCTATCTGACTAACAAATTATCAAACTCACTAAGGAAAGGTATATTATCTCTCATATATAAAAAGAATGATCCACTTGATTTAGGTAATTGGCGACCGATAACACTATTAAACACTGATTATAAATTAGCAGCCTATTGTTTAGCACAAAGACTAAAACCTATACTTCCAAATATAATAAATACAGATCAGAATGGATTCATTAAGGGCAGAAACATACACTACAGTATCAGACTTATTCAAGATGTTATTGATTATGCAGAGAAATTTGATGTAGATGGGGCGGTTCTTTTCTTAGACATTTTTAAAGCTGTTGATTCTATTGAATTTGACTATATGTTTGCAACTTTACAACATTTTGGGTTCAGGGAATCTTTTCTAACATAGGTTTCTACATTGTATAATGATATCAGTTGTGCAGTTTCAAATAATGGTTGGATATCTGAATCTCTTAAAATAACATGGGGAATTCGACAAGGCTGTCCCTTGTCTGCCTTATTATTTGTTATTACAGTAGAAACAATGGCATTAAAGATAAGACAAGATGAAAATATTAAAGGTATAAAGTTTTTCAGTAAACAAAGAGAGTTCAAAATATCTCAACTGGCAGACGATACAACTTTGTTTTTAAAGTCAAAAAAAGATATAAGCAAAGCATTAAACTTAATTAAAATATTTGGTACTTTATCAGGATTAGTCCTTAATAGACAAAAAACTCAAGGAATAAAATAAGGACAAAGGTTACTTATAGATGAAAACTTTGAAAACATTGAATGGTTAAGTACATATGTGAAAGCATTAGGAATATACTTTTGTAAAAATAAACAGTATGATTATAAAAACTGGGAAACTAAGATAGAAAAAATTAAAAAACTTTTAATTTCTTGGAACAAACGAAAATTAACAATGATTGGCCGAATACAAATTATAAAGTCCTTACTTATACCACAAATTACATACACCTATTCGGTGCTACCAATAACAAAAACAAAAATAAAAGAAATAAAAGGCATATTGTATAGTTACATCTGAGGAGGGAAAAAAGAAAGGGTTAAGCGAAAAACTATAGTTCAAAATTATGAGAGGGGAGGATAAAATACAGTTGACCTCACAGCACATGTTAAGTTAATGTTAATAAAATGGGTGAAAGCGCTAACAAACGAACAGGATAGTCAATGGAAAATAATTCCGGGGAGATACCTTACCAAGGCTGGGAGAAAATACATAATTTTTGCTATGAATATTGATAATATAAACCAACTGAAAGAATTTGACATTCCCACATTTTATAAGAAAATTATAAAGGTCTGGATTGAAATGGGAGGGGGACAAAAACAATATCTAAAGCACACTGTAGACATTGGAGGCCAGATAATATGGGGAAATAGATTCATCACATATCAAAATAAAGTTATAGTCTTTGAAAAATGGATTGAATCAAATATTATAAGAATAAAAGATTTATTAGATAATCAAGGAAATATTAATGAAAATATTATATTAGCAAAATTAAGAAATAAACACAATTGGATTTCAGAATTCGCTATTTTAAAGAAATCCATTCCAAATAAATGGAAAAATAAATTAAAAAACTCAAATATAGACAAACATATATGGAATACAGAACCTTTTAAACCTACTATAAAACTGAAAACATCAACAGCTATATGGGAATTAGATCAGTTGTGCAACAAACAAATATACAACTATCTTAAACACTTAAACTCCCAAAAACCAATCTCCTACATCTATTGGGCTTCCCAATTTCCTGATGAAGAAGACTTAGACAAAAAAATGGCAAATGCCCTGAAATTCATTTATTCACATTTATGATAATAAGCTCAGAATATATCGATGGAAATTGATTCATAAAATCTTAATAAACAATCAGTTATTATATAAATATAAAATAAGGATTAATCCACTATGCAACTTATGCAGTGTAGTTGAAGATTTTGATCACTTTTTTACAAAATGTGACTTTATAGTTCCTATAAACAATCAGCTGAATAACATTTTTGAGTTGATAGGCTATAGAAAAGACATGATAACATTAAAAAACTTAGTGCTAGGTTATAAACTCCACAGTGACAACCATGTGAATATAAATATTTTACTAACTCTCATTGGATTCACAATCACAATGATTACAAACAAAAACAAGTTAACTTAATAAACGTTCTAAAACAAGAATTAGAAATGTTTCTTGAAATTCAAAAACACAAAAATAAAAGTATTCCTAAGATTATAAGTAATTTCTTCAACCATTTAGAATAATCTAAGTATTAATTTTAATCTATAACTCCTGTGCGTCTTATCTTGGTCAATGCAACCGGATGGCCGCGAACAGCATGTAAACATAACAACACGTGACCATTTCCAATGTAAAAATAGCTTCCTCAAACCGTTAAGCCTGCCTGAAACAAAGTCATTTCATATTAACCTAATATTTACTTTACCTAATACTAATAAATACACTGTTATTACTATAAATTACATAAGACAGTCATAACTTATTATCTAATTAGCAAGAAAGCGGGCTTCAACCAAACTTAGGCCTGCTACTCTGTTTCTGTTAATGTATATAGATCTACCTGTAATTGAGCTTCAGAAATATCATGCCACGATAACCAAAAAACGAATTCAATAGACTAAAAATAACCTAACAAATAAACTGAGGTTTTGGAAACAAAATAAATGTCTAGACTTACCATGTCAAGCAGTAAATGTTCAGCGTTATGCAGCCTTGTGCTCCGGTTCAAGTACCGTTGGCGCCTATACTAGTGCATGGAATAATCGTGGGCGCGTTCGACTCAAGCGACGCGCATACAACAAATAGTTATGAATACTTAATACGTCTTTTTACTGTCTTAATATTTTAATATGTTTATATACTTATAAACAAATCGAAATTCTCTGCTGGAATGAATGTTATATCTATTTTTTCTACTGTAAACAAATAGCTATAGGTCAGGCTACAGCTACATGTATTTAGGATGAATGGTTATGTGAAAGGCGAGTGAAGAATGTGAGCCCTCCTGCGAGAGGATATTTCTGTATCTATTTGTTTATCACTGAATAAAAAGAATGTAAGTTTGAGATAAGCAGTTGATGTAGAAGAGTCTGTCGTGTCTTTGAGTTCCAGTTCTGTTTGATGAATACATGTACGATTGCCAGAGGAGCCTATTATTCATGTTCAAATACAAGAAAAATGATTAAATTTAACCCACTAAAAATTTATACAGATACTAGGAATGGATTCATAATAGAGCGAAGCTCCTCTTTAATGTTTATTATAACCATGCTACAAATATTTACTGTCCTACAACATTATACTTGCCAAGCCGAAAAACAGTGTTACCAAGTCACAAGTTCAACATAATATCAACCACAGACGAAGCTGAGATCCATGATCTACATTTTATATTAACCTAACATGTTTCATTTAGATTAAAGATGTGTTTCATAACGATTGAGGACCTGGTACACTACATCAGGTCAATAAACAGTATATCAATATTTTTATCATTATGTCACAGTGCAAACAATAGAAAAATGGGAAAATGGAAACAGTCAACTGTACATTGGATGTGTGGTTATAACAAAAGTTACAAACGGGTGTTATTATACTGGTCACAAAGTAGTTATATGATAAACGTGTATTCTTTACCCTAACAAAGTAAGTTAATCATCGGTATACGTAACCTCTACAAAAAGCGGTACTTACCTGAACAGGTAGTTCCAGTAAAGTCCGGTGTACAAGTGCATACAAAATTGCCTGAGTTAGGATCATCATTACAGGTGCCACCATTTTGACAGGTTGTCGCCGAGCACGGTACCGGATCTGATAATTGACAATATGCTGGTAAAAGTATCAATAATTTAAATACACGGTATATATACCATCTATATTATCTGTTGTTTTAATCACGACATTGTTGATAAGATTCAGACTAGCAGAAGAAATCTAGCAGGTTGATCTGAATGAAATCTATCTTTTGTAAAAGTACAGTGTCCTGTACAGTTTTAATGCATCGTAAATGTATCGAAGTGTATTTAGTGCGAGTGTATCTTTACTTTGATCTTCAATGACATCATATTGGGAGCTGGCCAGTTATGCAGAAGATACTGGACAGTACGGTTATTAAAATATTGAACACTAAGTCTTTTTATCCTTTTGTGATGTTTTGTATGTATTTTATAAGGTAGTTTTATTCGTTAACAATAGCTTTTAATTTTCCAGGAAACTCTCAGAGTTCATTTTTCGATGCGTACATTGATTATACTACTGATGTTACATATTTTATATAAAAGATTGTTTTGATTATTAACGAGTAAGATTAATTTCAGTTAGAATATTTGTTAATGTAGCCATATCAGAATGGTTGAGTAGGCAATTGAATCCGAAAATGTTTGAAAGATACGATATTAGGTTTCAGCAATATCCTTTGTACAGGTGCATACAAAGCTGCCTAAGTTATTATCATTATTACAAGAGCCACCATTTTGACATGTTGTCGCTGAGCATTGCACAGGAGCTGCTGATTAAATGTGTTTAAAGTGAAGTATCGTCAACAAATTGATAAAAAGTATCTTTAGTACATTTTTTGTAATGACGACACCATTGATAAGATGCGAAGTGGTACATAAAATAGGTAATGTGACAGATTGGTGTGAATGAAAATTACTTTTAGCAAAAGGTAGTGTCCTGTATTGTTTAGATTCATATATATCGGGGTTAAGATGTGTAATAATTAAGTTGGCAAAATAAAAGACAACGCACGCCTGTATGGTTAAATTAAAGCAATAAGCAATCGACATATTTGATTAGAAAGTTTATATTTGGATCGCTTAGAAACGTTATTAAAACGAACTAATAAGGCGATGGAAAGCAGCCTTACACCTGAATTAGGTATTAAATAACAGATTTCGGCACGTAAATGTTTCCCAGTGTGGTCAGATCGTCTAATTTATTCACGATCTAATCTGACAGTTGTCACAATAAAAGATATAACACGTTTGTGTAGTTTTCGCCTTCCCATGACGATCTGTAATGTTTTTATTTGAAATGGGAATAATAATAATTTGATTTGATCTATTTCACAGAAATTGCGAAACATGATTTTAGCTTATATTGGTCCAGATGGAAGAGCATGGTGGGTCTTACTCTGGGAGGAGACCGGAGTGGCCAAGGAAAACCCATGTGGTTGGGCAGATGACCCTATGCCTTTTCACACCCGCTCCGGGAATCGAACCATGGATGGCTAGGTGAAAGGCTAGTGCGTTACCAAACTGCGCCACCCTACCAGGGAAATGGTAAATGTACAACTTCGTCGTTCGATGCTTTTAATTTGTTTTGTTGCTGTTTGTTTTGTTATCATTATCATTATTACAAGTTACACGGTAATGATAAGTATTGAGATATAACTACCGTATATTATTTTGTTCTGGAACACCTACTACAGCTGTTGGGTTGGCACTTTTTATCAAACATTGAACAATGTTCACGTGGGGATAGTTCATCTAATTTCATCGAAGTATACTCAAATCAGTTGTTATGTAGTCGATACAGTCATGAACCTAAAAAATCGGATTATCGTTTAAATACTTAGTTAAATAGTATGATTATATAACTATTTATTTAACTAGTAAAGCGTTAATAAGTATTAATATTTTACTGTATCATGTATGCCACTTTATCCCAGAAATGGATTCCTGTTACAGATCTTAAATTATTTGGATTCTCTAGTTTCATACTAAAATATTCGACAAAGAGAAAGTCCAATAAAATTAATAAATGAGAAAGATATAAAAAAAATAAAAGGTGTTCCGGCTGACCTTCATTCCCTCAGCCACTATTGAGTGTGGGCGCCGCGGTTCCTTTTTAATAACCATACAGCTCAGGCACATTTAATTTATCGACTATTTGCTCCACGATATGATAAGCAAGTGACCTATAAATGATCCAATAGTAGCTTCCAACTTACAGGGAAAAGTAGCCATTAAGTTTCTGGCCTTATCAAAAGTAGTAAACAATAGAACTAAAGTTAGTAGTCTTTCAAACTCTTTGTTTAAAATGAAGGCCCTTGAGGAGAAGACGTCATTGTATTAGAATTCAGTGGCGTCTATGTTGGCAAGTCAATATTGAGAGATGTCCCCGTGTGGTCAGCTAATCTTATTTAATCAAGATTCATCCCGTTCAGTCACAACGGTCATTAACATGAAATATATGAATTTAATATAAATACGCGTTTGATTATTTTAGCTTTTGTTTCTGCATAGAAATAAATTTTCATTTATTTAACATCATGTTGTTTAGTGTGTGTGTGTGTGTGTGTGTGTGTGTGTGTGTGTGTGTGTGTGTGTGTGTGTGTGTGTGTGTGTGTGTGTGTGTGTGTGTGTGTGTGTGTGTGTGTGTGTGTGTAACTGAACTGCAATGTTTAATGATGATGGACTGGGAACGGACCAGTTGTAGAGAAGACAGTACGGTTAATTAATATTATATTTCTATTGGTTCGTGGTCAATACATTTGTGTGATTTTCGTCATGTATTTAGATGCTGTCTATTATTAGTAACTCTGGAACAGGAATATTAGATGAACATGATGAGGAGCATAGTGGAAATGCGTTTTTGATTTTTTTTTCTGATTGGTGATTGTATTCTTCCGATTTCGAGATGACAGTTATCATTTTGTTATAGATATATTTGGAGAAGAAGCTTTTTCTTGAAAACCGTTTTCATACATGTCTTTTTTCTCTTTCAGCAATTGATAGTACGCTAGTTAAGTGATATATCTATTCTGAACAATGTGTCATTTCAGGTTGCTAAACTTATTTTTATCATTACATGCGTCCGATTTCTTTATTTTTTCTTTCTTTTGGTTAATAACAATCATTTACCATTTTCTTTCAAATGCAACAAAATAACTAACAGAAAATAATATAAATTTACAAGCTGATTTAACATCCACCTATCCCAATACAACCAAATAATGTAAATTTTGATAAAGTGTTTAAATCCTTCGTTTGACAATATTCTTAAACTTAGTTTCTGCGTTTTCATAATTACCTGGTGATGATCCTGGTGGTGATCCTGGTGGAGATCCTGGTGGTGATCCTGGTGGTGATCCTGGTGGTGATCCTGGTGGCGATCCTGGTGGCGATCCTGGTGGTGATCCTGGTGGCGATCCTGGTGGAGGACATGGCGGAGGACATGGAGGAACTCCTGGTGGTGATCCTGGTGGTGATCCTGGTGGCGATCCTGGTGGTGATCCTGGTGGCGATCCTGGTGGTGATCCTGGTGGCGATCCTGGTGGAGGACATGGCGGAGGACATGGAGGAACTCCTGGTGGTGCTGCTGGTGGTGCTCCTGGTGGTGATCCTGGTGGAGATCCTGGTGGTGATCCTGGTGGCGATCCTGGTGGCGATCCTGGTGGTGATCCTGGTGGCGATCCTGGTGGAGGACATGGCGGAGGACATGGAGGAACTCCTGGTGGTGCTCCTGGTGGAATACATGGAGGAGGACATGGAGGAACTCCTGTTGGTGATCCTGGTGGTGCTCCTGGTGGAGGACATGGCGGAGGACATGGAGGAACTCCTGGTGGTGATCCTGGTGGTGCTCCTGATGGGTGTGATTGATTAACCATTATCAAAACTATACCTATAACGAGACTTAAGCCACAGCGAAAGAGTGGATATTATTTTTTTCGCTGATTTGTCTTGCATCTAACGGGAGTAAAATTCTTACAATATTAAACCAGGAGGTTGTAAAAGCTTAAAGCCAAACTGATAGAGAACGCAACGAACGCTATATGTTATTTGTGTGCGAAAGTAAAGGCAGTTTCAGGAACACATAACCATATGAAAAACTAACAGACTTCATATGCCAAAAACTTGTCAGTAAACATAAATATAAATGTAGTAATCAATCAGAACCAACGCTCTTTAGATCTCCCGGTCTCTAGCCGAGAAACGTTGTTCTCCGATTATTCAGTACCCCATCTAGAGCTCCCATCGTTAGTCTGCGGGACATTTACGCATCGATGTAAAACATGTGACGTTAAATAGGGTTATGATGACTCAATCACCAATAACAACCAAATTTGAAACCCATAGTATTAATCACATTGCATTCGCTAGTAGGCAGCGCCTATTCCGTATAATCCTCCTGTGTGAAAGTGGATTGGCATAACTTTCCTGAAATGATGTCATCTTTGAAAAACTGCTGTTTTATTCACACAAAAGCTTTTGATGGCTACTGACTGACTTTTGTATATGAAAAAGTCTAAATACCAGTCAAATGAGAGCAATTACATATTATATTACATATTCCAGAATTGCCTTTACAAAGTGAAATGTGTATGTGACTACAGACCAATGTTGAACTTCCGGATCATTATACACCAATATTGTCCTGAGGGATTACTTTATGAACCATTGTCAGGATTACGCTGCTTACATGCTTTTAAGTGGCTATTTAGCTTACCTGAATGGATACACATCACTGCCGTTATGAAGATAAGGAAAACGAGGAGGTTCTTTGTTGGGAGGTGCATTTTCCTTGGTCTTTCTAGAGTTGAAAACAAGAGAGGTAGTTCCTTTCCGATTACGTGAAAGAGAGACCAATTAATCACTTTGTGTTTTAGCCTGTTTGTTAAAAAAGTCATAATTTTGATCATGTCAACATTCTTTTGTCCTTCTGAATATGAATTTATGTTCACCACAATAACAATGTTTTTACAGAAATACGGCTATAATATGTTCTCCTTTAGTAAAGGGTAATATGTTTTGTATTTGCAGTTCCAATATAACAGTAGATATGTCCGTTACACTATAGATTGTCGTTTTAAGCCATATTCTTATATGATAACGTGACATTCATTCTTTAAATTCACGCGCTAGTGTTTGTAGATAACACCAAACCACCTGCTTAGTTTATACATTTTCACGAGTCTAAGTGTAAATCTTTCTTTAATATATGTTTGTTCTATCTGGTTCAACCAGTTTAGCAATTTTGAAGTTTTGAATTTGGAAAAAAGGATATTTTTACAAAAAATTAACAGCGACGTTCACTGAAGATATAACAAGCAATTAAAGTCGTCGTACAGAATAGATTCACGAAAAACTATTAATATCTTTTTATTTTGATATTGAAAATGGGACTGACAAAATGAGGTAAACGATGATTTTATATTAATTGCTTATTTTCTCTGTGTCGGGAAACTAAGACGTTTCACATCTTGGTCTAGCGGCGGAATTTGGCAACCCACATTGATCCTTCTCATCAGTGATAATTATACTTTTACATATTTCTAACAAACCACATTTATATGAATTATGCCATGTTGTATTTTTTCATGTGTGTCATTATTATGTCTGTGTATCAACGTGTTTGCAAAATGCATTAAAACTCACCATACGGTGATCACATTCATTCACATCATTCCTTTGGTTGTTTATGTAACAAGATGGAGGATGCGTAAATAGTGTTATTTTTATCCAAGTCTTTCATGAAAGTGGGTTATCTTTTAAGAAGATACCTGAATGTTTAATCTTTTAGGCTGAGCATGAAGTATCTAAATCCAAAGATGGATTTGTAGATTGGCAAACATAAGATCTAGCCTTGCTTTGAGCTGCAGAACTTATTTGTAACCTTGAAAAGCATGCTGGCCCATAGCTAAGCACAGCATTTAAACATGAACTTAGCTACGGTCATCCATATCACTCAATGGTTTCTACTTTCTTTATGTTGATGAAGAAGGTGTTAATCAACTGGATTCATCTAAGTGTAACATATGTTAACGAATATTCATTTAAACTGGATCTATCTGAAGAACTTCGATATGAAACTGACAGTCAACTTCATCTCAATTTGCAATATTTGATACGAATGTATGCATTTGGAGTATTTTTTCCGTTAAAAAGTAAACACAACATAGACTTTGAATATAATTTAGCTAAATGATTCAATAGGGAAAAAGTGTTTCAAAAAGTCTTACAATATGTAAACTTTTCTTTTCAATGAATGATAATCTGGTTGTATTATGCAAAAATACGAAAGCATACAGTTATCCGCTAAGGTAACCAGGTACAATCAATCAATATCCATGTCACTGCCATATGTTTACTGAATATCTATCTTATTTCCTTCCACAAATGCTATGAACCCGGTTGGTCGCTGTCGGGATGTTGTCAAAAGGTTGTCGATTAAATTTACATATATCAACATGAGAACACACCTAGGCTACCCTATCCAATCACATTACAAAATTATCCTAGTGATGGCTTGGGAAGATTCTTCAATTGCTTGGATATTACATTATCTGTTCTTTATGTGTGTCCATAAATGTACACTTAAGGAATTTGTGACTTAAAATTTTAAGTGGTGATTACCGCTAGTGGAAGGACCTTAAACAGAAGACTCTTACTCTTCCGGAATATCTGGTCCTATTCACCTTGTACTTTTTCAAGAGGTTCCATGTAAATCTTTCTTTTGTTCATATTTGTTATGCTCTTTTTTACTTATTACTTAGCAACATAATATGAGCTGTAATGAATATGTTACCTTCTCAAAAATCTTATCATTGTGAAAGTGGGTGTAGCGGATGATATAAGACAAAGCAATGTTATCACTTGATGAATACAGTTTTTTGAAGTTGAACATGTATCGCTAGCAACATTCTGATGACTGTGTCTAAGTAAAAACGCTAAACGCGAAGAAAAAACAAAGTGCTAATCATGGGGGAAAACATCGAAAGAGAAATGTACTAATATATAAACATTTCAGCGACACAAAAAATGAATAAAAAAAATCAAATAGCAAAAATAACAAAAAAAAACAAAAACAAAAAAAACGGAAACAAACACTGGATGGAATGTGTGCTAAAAATATATTTTGAGATTGAAATGTGTACTATGATTAAAAAAATATTCATATCATCTTCGAGTGCCATCAGTAGAACTAGTTACATTATATTAGCAATTAATATAATTTCACCATTCATAATTGTTTGTAGATGAGAGGAATTCCGGTCCAGACGCGTGTGTAATTCTCTTAGTATTAAATTCGACCAAAACAAGCAAAATCGTATTTCATCATAACATTCTGCTACAATCCACTTACTTTTCACATTTGTTAACCATAAGGACTGATGACAATTAAAAGGAGGTGAGAGTTTCTAGTTGGTTACGGTACTCAATAAGCGACAGAAAACACAAATATTGATAACATAAATTGGTATCAGTGTTTTCTTTCGACCATCGCATTGTGCTGTATTATGAGTAGTTCTCAAATACCCCCAATAAAACAACTCATGGCTTATCGTGCTGCGCATTTTTCTGTAGAAATGGCATACCGACACCAAAAGCAATCCATCGATCACATGACCGGTATAATTTCAAAATTATAACATATGTAACATAGGTAATGTCATACTGAGTTAATATGAATATAAAGTGGCAAAAATTATCAATATCAATTATCAATATTTTACTTCCGTAACTTTATTTTGGCTACAAATATCATAACTTTGTAGATAATAAATTCTGTTTTTTATCCATCTCGTGGTAAAACGAATTTGTAGAACGCCTTCTTCATTGACGACACCCGAAAAATTGGTCAATTAAGTGATGTCGCGTTCTCAAATGAGAATAAGGTATACAACAACGGAACCAACAGGCAAAACTAGCATTGGGTACCTTTAACTTCATATCACACAACGAAATAGAATATTTTCAAATTTTCAATATGTCGACCAAAAAGCTTCCCTATAATTTTCATCAGAAGAAAGTGAACTTACCTATTGCCACGATATCCGTCTTATGTGTAGTACAGTAAAGTCAAACTCCGGAACACTATTTCAGTAGAATCCAACCACAAGCTAGATCATAGCTTCCAGCAATTTTTATTTATATATAATTTGTGATCGATTCCTTTTCAGTGAAAGAAGGATGGGTAAAAACGTCCAACTGTCCAATGATTTTACAGCAAACACACAAGTAAATACCACATTTTAATAGAACTTTAGAATTGAATTTACAGAGCCAAATGCTGGATTGAACAGCAATATACAGCTGTTTCGTCCTTCTTGAACTCGTCAGTGATGGTTATGACATAAATTTTGAAACCGAGGAGGCGACTTCAGGAAGTCAAAGTTGACCGAAAAAAATCTTACTAATATTAATTCCTCATAACATGCCTCCTAGTCATCTCGTTTTATTTAATTTAGGTTTGATTAAATTACCGATGATATGTTGTTTTTTGTCATTTGAAGCTAAAGGAACAAGGCTTGTTGTCCTGCACAGCTTAGTCGAAATAGATGGAAACCAAAACTGAGTCTTATTTCTGTAATTTCTTGTAGATCTTCTACAGTTCACAATTTCTCTTTTGTTCAATTTCAGTACAAATTTGGACAAATAACACTGAATGCATATAAACAGTATTTGTACCTGTTTGTTTACAAGATGATTATCACCGAAGCTGTGGCTCTCTGAGAAAAAGTATAATGGGGAAAATTTAATCATCCCCTACCTTGAGGGTGTAACAGAAAAATTTTCAACCATCTCTGTCACAACCTCAAGATGGTAGAAGATTCTATTGATCTTTTAATCATAGTCCATATTTCAATATCAAAATACATCTGTAAGC